CTTCGGCCGCGCCAGCCACCTGCACCCGATTCCACCTCGGGTATTCTTGACTGTGTCTTGACACTGGGCTCAGCTGTGTGAGGGAAGGGAGAGTGCGGTGGATTCTGCGCAAGTCTACTATCACTTAGAACTTATTCACGCACAAGTCTCCATCCCTGCACCGCCCTGTTGTGGAGCATACGGTGAACACCGTCGAAATCGACGGTTGAATTGTCGTCGCCAGGACATCAGATGACTCATGCAGTGCCGGTATAACTTTTTATGTGACCAAGCAATTCCGGCTGGTGAAATTGCCACGGTTTTCGTCAGTCGCAAAGCAATCCCCTATCTCGTACTGTCCACGAACTTGCCCCGTATATGGATTACGCCTTATTGCGTTTGCATTTCAGTCCTCAGAATGTCCGCAAGGCCCCACACTAGAACACACTTTTTTGTAGTCAAAACCTCCTTGTGTAGCTTTCTTTGTGCACATTGTTGGCACTCGGCGATGGGGTATATACGAGGGCTGACGAGTGCAACCCTAATTGACGCTAATGCGGGGGGAGGGCGCTTAGGTAAAGCTTTGATCTTAGCACTGAAAGCGTCATACCGCCCACTGTTGTACTTAGACCACTGTTATGGACGCGAGGGTTTTTATTTTCTCCTAAGACAGTGATGCTCCGCTAGCTATGATCTAGCGAACATACTTCGGAGAGGCAGTCGATACACATATAGGACTGTCTTGGGAAGCTGTCGTCTGACTCAATATTTCAGTCCTCTTGGCCCGTAATATGGGGCGACTGACTCGGGGACTGGGAATCAGGTTAAGTTAATAATTCATTTTTACTGCGCATCTGGCCGAATATACCCATGCGGCGGCTCACTACCCGAGGGAGATGACGGCAATGGAAGTGTTGGTGTTTGCTGGTTCGCCAGTCTCCAAGCGATGGCTTTGTAAGTGACCAACTACGTCTGTGTGTGAGATGAAAACGCAATGAAAGTGTTTCCTTGGTCACATCACTGGTGTTGGTAAGGTGGTGGTTGACAGGGCGTCACGCTTGCGCTGAGGGTGCCTACGCTGTTAGCGCCGCCCGGGTTGGAGCAGGAGCAATTGAGGAGGCAACCTTTGAGGTTGGCAGAGTGTTACCGCACGGGCTTCGGGGATGTTC